GGCACTGCATGACTGACAGCAACAGGCTTGACTTTCAGAATCAGATGCATGATAGGATTTGTAGTTTAACAGCTGGGAGGGCCACAGCTTGCCTACCCCTGGAATAGACGCACTATGGGCTTGTTCACATCACAACGTTCTTTTGTAGCAAGAGATGCAACACATGCAACAGTAACACACTGTATATGTGTGTTGCTGTGCATTGTCAATTGTACCACAGCACATACTGTATATATATATATATATGCACAAATGCAAATGCTCTGTGTACTGCGGCTTTAAAAATTGTGTAGGGCTTTTTTGTTTATGCTTTAAAAGCCCATTTAAAATGATCGGGCCACCTAAAGTGTCATGGTGCAGGAATAATGTGTGTTGCAGCTCACCGTGTTATAGTGTAAATGGGCCACATAACAGCTGAGGTTCACCATCTGCACACGCAGGGATTCATTCATAAACCAATAGGGCAAATGATAAGTGAAGAGGTTGCCATAGTTACCCAATAACATTGCTTATTTTATCTTTTAAGTGCAAAAATGAACCTGTGCAACACTAGGATATGAAGGAATGCTTTACAAGAACCAGTACAACTTTGTAATGGGAGTAGAGATGACGTTATGCAGAACTGAAGTCCTCCACATGCCCCACTGAATCCTGTTACCTACAAGGAATTGATTAGGTATAATTGCCTCGCTGGCTCCATGTTCGCATAAACTGCTCTAAATCTATGAAGTGGGAAAAAACCGGTACTGATTTATGGTTTGTGTGCGAGATAGTAATCTTGACTTTTCTCTTACTTTTTTTCTTTTTAAACAGCTACTCTCAAACTGAAAGCAGAAGATAAGGCGTCCTGTTTGATCTAGCCATTCACTCACAAGCAGGAAGACTAAAAAGGGAGTTGCATTAGAAAAGCATAAAACCTGTATCTGGTGCCATGCAGAACGTTTGTGATAAGAAGTTTATTAGCAGTGGGTAGATCTGGGTTAGCAATAATTTGCTAACTACTTGCAGCAAGTACAACCAGTCTACTTCCTTTGTTTCAGCTTCCCATATTTTTAATGTGTTTTTTTTTTTCAGGGCAAGAAACATAAAAAGAGCCTGATAGCCAATGCACCATAACAGAAAACAAAGAAAAGGAAAACTTCCTTAAAGTGACATTAAAGGCTAATATTTCCCTCCTCCCCAATCTTAGTTTAGGGACTTACCTTAAATGATGCCTCTTAATCCGATCGTCTTCTTCTTCTTTAGTGTAGTTTTCAGCAGTCCATCCAGCGCTAGTGCGGGTCTCCGATCCAGCGCTGACTCCTCTGTCCTCCTTCTCTCATGTCCCACGGTGTCTGTGCGGGTGCGCGCTGCTCCATAGACTTACCTTGTGTCTCTCCTCGTCTCTCTCGGCCGAACATCTGAACTGCGCATGCGCCCGCCCCAAGATCCTTTGCGGCCGCCCGAGAAATTTTGAGATGTTCGGACGGGAGCGCCCAGGTAAGTATTAACCCTTTGAAAAAGTTTTTTTTATCGTTTTGCATATATCTACTGCTTGCTAGCAGTAGATATATGCGGAAACATGCATGGGTTTAATAACCCTTTAAATTTCCTTCGAACCTTTTTGCTGACTCAATGGAAGGAAATATTGCCTGGTTCCTTAAAAAATGCCTGGTGCTCGCTAGATTGGGCTATCTGGCCTCTAAATTCTCAGTATACAAAGTTGAGAAAAGCAAGAGCGCTGTGCCAAAAGTTTTGGAGCCCTGTAGTATTTACTTCATCATAAAATGCCAAGATAACAGGCCAACATGTTTCAAGAGGTCACAAAACTCCTTCACCAGGGCTTAAATTATAAATAGGGATGCAAATGGCCTGAAAGATGTTAGATAGATGTTGAAATAGAATTTCCTCTTCCCTTAAGTCCTGGTTCACACTGAGCGTTTTGTAGCACTCCAAAAATCTGTCCCCCCAAAAAATCCCATTAATTTCTATGGCCCTGCTCACATCTGAGAGTTTTGTTGCCATAAGCACTTTTCTGTCTGTGGAAAAAGTACAGAAGCTTTTTTTAGGCATCTTACAGCTCATTTTGGCCCTATAGACGGAATAGGAAACGCTTGAAAACGCCCGTTTGCTGTGTTTTTGCGCGTTTTTCTGCGCATTTTCTGCGCTTTTTCTCATTAACATCAATGAGCTACAATCTGCTCACAAAAACACGCTTTTTGCCGTATGTGCATAAAACCGCTCAAAAACGTGCATCACAAACATGCGTTAAAAGCGCAAAAACGCTGTCGCCTAGGTGTTACCCAGGCCTGAAACTGGCATCAATAGCTGTTTTTTTTTTCAACTCTGGATTTCCTCTGAAGAGCGCTTTCATGCTTAAGAGCTGACAGAAAGAGCCATTGTTCTCTACAGTGCCGACTCTACACCATTTTGTGGTGTTGAATCAATATCTGATCCAGCACCTCCCATTTACACCTTTCCAAGGTTTCTAAAATTGTAAAAGTTCTGTCTACAAGCAGGCAATGGCTGGTGACTTTTACCTGTTAGCCAGGAAAGCCTTTTATTTGATGTGTGCCACTTTGAACCTGGTTTCCCTTATGTTACTAAGGGCTGGATTTGTACCTGACAAACTCTGCCGCCTGCCACTAAGCCCTGTCCGTCTGATATCCCTGCTGCCCAATGAGAGATCCCTTATTTACTTTCACTGGACAGGCACTGGTGACCATGGCTTAGCTCAAGGTTCAGGTTTAAAAACACCGAAATGGTTATTCACAAAAGGGTGAGGAGTTTTGGAGAAGGCAGGAGAAGTGAACAATCTAGGCCAGGGGTGCCCATTAGGTAGATTGTGATCTACCAGTAGCTCTCAAAGCTGATGCTGGTAGATCACGAAGGGTGTGAATGGCAGCCCCTTTATTCCATTTTGGTATATTTATTTAACTGTGCACACATGCCCAGATAGCAAGAAATTGTGCTGCAAGTTTGAAAATGACTTGCTAAACTATTGCAGACTTGCCAAACTTCACAATTTTGTTGCACAATTACAGCAAGTCTGCATTGCTAGTCCCCAGACCTTTTAGGCATCTTACAGCTCATTTTGGCCCTATAGACGGAATAGGAAACGCTTGAAAACGCCCGTTTGCTGTGTTTTTGCGCGTTTTTCTGCGCATTTTCTGCGCTTTTTCTCATTAACATCAATGAGCTACAATCTGCTCACAAAAACACGCTTTTTGCCGTATGTGCATAAAACCGCTCAAAAACGTGCATCACAAACATGCGTTAAAAGCGCAAAAACGCTGTCGCCTAGGTGTTACCCAGGCCTGAAACTGGCATCAATAGCTGTTTTTTTTTTCAACTCTGGATTTCCTCTGAAGAGCGCTTTCATGCTTAAGAGCTGACAGAAAGAGCCATTGTTCTCTACAGTGCCGACTCTACACCATTTTGTGGTGTTGAATCAATATCTGATCCAGCACCTCCCATTTACACCTTTCCAAGGTTTCTAAAATTGTAAAAGTTCTGTCTACAAGCAGGCAATGGCTGGTGACTTTTACCTGTTAGCCAGGAAAGCCTTTTATTTGATGTGTGCCACTTTGAACCTGGTTTCCCTTATGTTACTAAGGGCTGGATTTGTACCTGACAAACTCTGCCGCCTGCCACTAAGCCCTGTCCGTCTGATATCCCTGCTGCCCAATGAGAGATCCCTTATTTACTTTCACTGGACAGGCACTGGTGACCATGGCTTAGCTCAAGGTTCAGGTTTAAAAACACCGAAATGGTTATTCACAAAAGGGTGAGGAGTTTTGGAGAAGGCAGGAGAAGTGAACAATCTAGGCCAGGGGTGCCCATTAGGTAGATTGTGATCTACCAGTAGCTCTCAAAGCTGATGCTGGTAGATCACGAAGGGTGTGAATGGCAGCCCCTTTATTCCATTTTGGTATATTTATTTAACTGTGCACACATGCCCAGATAGCAAGAAATTGTGCTGCAAGTTTGAAAATGACTTGCTAAACTATTGCAGACTTGCCAAACTTCACAATTTTGTTGCACAATTACAGCAAGTCTGCATTGCTAGTCCCCAGACCAGCGAGCTTGCAGAGCTCTTGCTAAGACCTGCAGGACTGTTGCTGTAGACTTGCCAAGCAAATTTGCTACAAATTCAAAAAGTGTCAACTAGAACTTGTGCTGCAAGTGTTCTGCAAGTCTACAACTTGCCAGGAATGTGTGCGGCAAGTTAACAAGAATTACAATTTAACCCTGCCGCAAGTTTGTGGCAAGTTATCCTTGCTATCTGGGTGATTACCTATTAGCCTGACTCTGCTGAGCCAAGCTCACTGACACCTTTCTGGTGGATACTGGTGGTTGAAGTGCTATGTATTACATCAAAGAATATTAGTTTACACAGCCTGTTGCACTACACTGTTTGCAAAATACAGAAAGGTGAGCCAGGATAGACAGCCAGGGGAGAGAGCCAGGAGGATGTGCAAGGAGAGACAGCCAGGAGAGAGAGCGAGGGAGTTTTTTTTTTTTTTCATTGGTAGATCTCATGTAGCTCGTCATTTGAAAAGTAGATCTTTAACACAAAAATTGTGGGCACCCCTGATCTAGGCCAACATAGCTGAGCTGGAAAAATTCTCCATTTCGGCTCCTTTCCAGTTCAGCTATGTTGTCCTAGATTGGAGAAGTGAACAAACTCTTCACCCTTCTGTGAATAACCCTGAGAAACTGGCAAAGTTGTGCCCTCAGTAGCAAAGTGAACCTAATATCAAAAAGGTACCCAGAGGTGTCTTTACTGGCCCTCAAAAGCTAATAAACACCCTGCGGTACTTACTTATTAGGTAGCAATTATTAGATTTAAACATTCGTAATGGTTGACAGGTTCACCCTAAATATACACAGTATTATGGATAAGGATATAATCATTTCATTGACTATCATATTTCCTGGATAAGCTAACATGATGCACTGACTTGTGTGATCACAATCTCCATAATAGAATACATACACTTATAGATTGAATTACTTACTATTTGTGCACTCTGTAAGGTTATAAGCCACTTCATGACTGGAATCGTTTGCACATTTAATACAGGAGGATCCTCCATTACTGGTCCATATCTGAAAGCATCCTGGTATTCAGAAAATAGACAAGGTGGTGATTACAAATAGGCAATTCTTTACTCTATTTGAACACAAAACTCAGATTTTTTTTGGCAAAGTTCTGGAGCTGTACCACACTTCCAATAGGTAAGATCAACTTTATTGTTCAGCACAAGCACAGACACATCACCCAGAAACCTCCCTCTAGCATGCTTTGCCCTCTACTGTGGTTATTCATACATCAAGCTTTATGACCTACCAAGCTCTAGGATTAGACTCCAGTAGGGGGTGAAACATGGCAGAGGGAGGATCCTGGGTGGAGTGTCTGTGCTTATGCTAGACAGTAAAGTTGATGCTGTCCCTTGGAAGCGATGTGCAGCCCCAGAACTTTGTTGAATAGTGTGTGGGAAGAATGGACCATGGAGAAGTAAGCACCTGTGAGCTGGAGTTGAGGATTGCAGGTGGTCTTAGGAGCGGCTTTATTTTTTGTGAGCAATATAATCAGATTCCTTGGGTTTTAACTTTTTGTAAGGGCATGACACTTAAAAGGATTGGTCCACCCACCAAAAAGTGTTATTTCAGTTTAAGGTGAACACTGGTGTACTGAGACACTCTCCTGCCGCCTTATTCTCTGGTAAACAGGTTACAGGTTTAACCAGGATTGGCAACAGGTACAATAAGGTGCTTGTTCTTGCCTATAGCATGCTCCCCTGCCGCTGGAGCACCCAGGTAAAACATGGTACTTCTGGGTACGACGAACATGTGCTCAAGAACAGACCTGTGTTGCAACCAGCCTTTAGAAATCTTAAAAGGAGAATTATGAGGTCATTGATTTTCACTCAGCCTTATAATCTGTGCCGACCTGTGAAGGTAGTGGGAAGTGAGCAAACACATACCAGCGCTCGATCACTTCTCGATCCTGTGCCGGCAGAGAGCCGTGACAGGGGAGGGACTGGATTCCCCCCTTCCCACTCTGATCCTCCAGCGCTGACTGGCGGAACGGACGGGGGAGGGGGCGGGTACAGCTGGCTCTGCCTCACGATAGGCAGAGCCAGCTGTCACTCACGCAGCTGGGTGGATCCAGACATAGTTGTCGGGATCCGTTTCGGCTGTGGCGTCTCAGTATACCACGAGCTGTAGCTCGCGGTATACTGAGCTTAGGGTGACGGGAGGACGCTAGTTTTTGTCCTCCCGTTACCCTTAGGAGAACTATGGGGAAAAGCCCTAACCCCATAGTTCTCATTTAACCACTTCAGGTGTGTCCAAACAGTGGATCAGAATGGCAAGAGAACCTGTGCTTTGCCCATGCCATCGCAATGGTCAGCTTGAGGCGCTGCATCCCACAGTCTGTACTGTCCATAACAACAAATCCAAAACTCCCATTGCATAGAGGACGATTTCACTTTCATTGAAGATGCCCTTTATAGACCCCCCTGCCCTTTCCTCGATACCAATCAGTGCACCCTGCAGTGTTATATTAGCCCCACTCAGGAGATCTTTGTCCAGGGCAGTTCAGACTTTCATTGCACCCATGCCAAAAATTGTTTTATTACACAAATGCACAAAACAGCATGTGTTTTTACAATGCAAAGTGTAAATCCAGTGTGAATGTCAGTATTCATTTTACAATGTGTCGGTTTTTCAGTCCCCATCTCACTATGCAATACATGGACTCTGCTGAAGAAGAGTAGAATGCATTTGTTTTTGTACCCATGAGCTTCTAAAAAAAAAACGGACAGGTCCTCTTCACATCTTTCGAAAATAAAGTATTTACTGAAGTTTGGAACAATGAGGTTGCATGTTAAACACACATGGCTTTTCAGTGGGGATGACCCAGTGACACAGAAAGGTAAGAACCTAAATAGTCATGCTGCTTGAAATATAATGTTGTGTTTTTCTTCTGTATACACCCTGAATTCCAGGCAGAAATACACCCCATTCCTTAGTCAGCTCAGCCTGCAGAATTTGTGTCATTTAATACCTCTCTCGTGAACTGAAGGGATTTAGGGTGTAACCCTCAGAACAGATGATAGAAGAGTAAAATATCTGTGCAGTGATGTAGAAAATCTACTCTGCCTTCTGGTGACTGTGGTGGGAACAATGTGGCAATCTTTAAAATCTTCAGGGCTTGAATGGTTTATTGTCTTGTTAAATCTCGCAGTTTTTAAAAAGTTTATATAGGCAACTAATAAAACTAATAAAAAACAGATCAGTGCCAAACATGTGCTAGCTTCCAAGACGTTTCGCTGCCCTGGAACTATTCTATAAGTACAGAAGTGGGAGAACGACTGCCTGTGGAGGTTTGTGACTACTTCACCCACAAAAAGTCCGCAGCCTCGATTTCTCAGGAGAGAAAAGCTTAGATTCTAAAAATAACAATTGCCTGTCTGACATGGTTATCCCCTGGCTTCTGCACATAGCCCACCCACCCTAACATGTACCCAGCCATGCTCCCAAGCTGCTTGTTTGTATTGCAATTTGAAGCACATAACCTTCACTATGTGACAGTGCTCGGGCCTTAGCGGGAATCACCAGACCAGACCCTATTGCTGTTAAGTTGGGGGCGCCACAATGGGATCACATTGGCTAAGACAAGCCAAAAATGGAGCTTAAATAGTTATTGCAAGGGGGGCAGGGGTGAGTGAGTGTGGCGGGGG